GTATGTGGGTATATGAATAACGACCGCTTAAAATCGATTTCAAAGTTCTACTTTCGCTGTAGAAATTTTAGGTCTACGTTATGTAGTTTGACTATTGTCAATTAAATCGAATGCTTTGTATTGCATGCGCTCCACGCTTTTCATTTTCAATTTCATAGATTGTTTATAATGACTTTTGCTAAAATTTCAAAATCAAAAGTTATCAAAACAAATTCTATGGGACTGAGAAGTATTATTTTCTACTTTTTAGTCCATTTATAAAAGCGTTGTATATTAAAAAGTTTTTTTTATATTATTTATTTTTTTATATGAGAACTGAAGTCGGTATTATTTTTTGCTTAAAAATTACTTGTATATCCAAGAGTTCTTTGAGTCGCTGATTACAACAAGTTTATTTAAAATCTGTGACCTTTAAATTTCGGTCCCTTTATACAAAGAGTACTCCTACACTTAAAAGATCAAGAGACCGGTTCTAAAAAATTAAATATTTGTGTATTTCTTTGAAGAGAATTTTTGTAATATGTATATTTAAGAATTTGTAGTAATTTGCATGAAAATTGATAAAAGTTATTTTCTTAGCTTTAACTCGCATTACTAGTGTTAACATTAAAATTAAATAATGTTTTCTGATTTACTTAATCTATTTACGGATATTTTTAACTAATACTGTTTGTTTTTAAGTATAATTAATTAATTAAAATTAATTTTTGGCTTTTCATGCAAATTTATAAAAATTCTAAAATATGCTCAAGTAGCACACTGGTGTATAACTTGGTGTAAATTTGTGAATTTTCAATTAATCAGATTTATACCGAAATTCGTAAATTTACAACAGGTTATATACCAGTGTGATACTTCAGTACCTGTCCCCAATAAAAACAATCTCGACAATCTAGGTATTATAATTATTGTAGGGAAGGGGCGGAAAGTTAAATTTCCAGGCCTGTGTTATATTTTAACTTAAACAACAAATTAATTACCTTTAGAATTTTCCAATTTTGATTTAAATTTTGTAATTATCCACCACTCCATATTGAATCCGCCATTTTTTTAAAACTGATTTCAATTTCGTAGTCATCGACTCATAACTTTCGGATATCCAAATTCATAAAAATCTGAATTTTTAAACCCATCCGCCATTTTGAATTTTTAAAAACTTACTTCAGATTTGTAATCAGCAAGCCCAAAAACCCTTGAATACGAAGTTTAATAAAGTTTAACAAATCAGAAGGCAATATTCTATTGACCGATTCAGTATAGGGGTTGTTTTCCCCATAGAAACTGTAAATAACTTGCTTTAAAAAAACGGCCAAATACTGGTACCAGAAGTCTCTTCTTTCCGAAAATGCTGGATGTTTTCATGGGTGCAAAATTGTGTCAGACTCTGTAATAAATGAATAAAGCTAAGTGTGTTAATTAGCTTTATATTTTTTTTTATTTGACTACATACACTGAGAAATTAGTTTAGTTTCGATAACTAAATATATTTAAGTAGTTGCAAAATTTTTACATTATTTAGGAACTATGTATTACCAAGGCTTGGGAGCCATAACCGACGTTTGGTAATTACAACTAAATGTACATATTAAAACTGGTTACATTTGTCTACGTTTAGCCAAATTGTTGAAAATTATGCACGCCAAACGTTCAACGGGCAAAATTAGGTAATATCGGCAGTTCTTCTGGTGCGCGCGTAAGTCAACCGGGCTTTTCTCAGTGAATATAAAATTCAATTTAGTTATAATTTAAGGGTATATGCATGTGCATCCCATGGGAAAATAGTGTACGTAAAGCAACTGATATTGACCGGAGTTTCTCAGGACTCTTTCTGTTTTATCGCTTTTTTTCGGGAAATTCTGACCACCATATCTTTACATTAATAACTCTTTATTCCCATCGGTGCCAACTGACGCCAAAGGGAAACTCCTTTCCATCGCAGAGGATGCCTCCCTCTTCCTCTGGTACCACCAGCAGGTTCCGAGTTAAAGACTTTCAGAGCTGAAGCTTCTGTATCCATTCGGACGATATGGCCAACCCAGTGGAGCCGCTGCATTTTAATTCACTACACTAAAGAACGTGTCAGACGTGGCAATATTTCGAGCTTTTCCACGCAATTCGCTGTCAAATTGAGAAAGAGAAATTTAATTTCGATGTAAGAAGAGCCAGAAAAACCTTTCTGTCACATTTCGGAAATCAGTTTCAAAAATAAAAGTTGCAAAATGTGACTGCAATTTAGAGAGCGCAAATCGATTTCGGAAATATATTTCAACTTGCTCGTGCTGCACTAGCAATCTGCAATTCACCTTTTGGAAATTAAAAACCTCTTTCTAAAGACATTTTACATGCAAGGTGTGACTGCTCATGCAACTGCTTTCTGAAAATTCTCAATTTAACAGCATTTTCGAAATATATTGCCACGTCTGACACGCTCTTTAGTCCATGTGTTTGTAAAGCTCATACAGCGCCTCGTTCTATCATCTGCGGTAATCGCCATCGCCGTCGCCAACGCGTAAACGCCCGTAAATTTTTTTCTCTCGATAATGCTAAGGCTGGTTGCCAAATAAACAAAATTCTCTACATTTTCAAAATTATAACCGTCAACAGTGACATGGGTGCTGGGGCGAGAATGCGCTGGCTGTTTGTTATATGACAGCAGATACTTCGCTTTGTTTTCTTATCGAACTAAGAAAACGAACAGCATATTTCTTGTTATTTTTTACCGATGATGTCGATGTCATCAGCTTGTGCGACCAGTTGCCACCTCTGAATTGTTCATAAGCGGTTCACTTCTGCAGCTCTTATTATCATCTTCAACATCACATTAAAGAAATCTCACGATAGGGAATCTCTCTGTGTGAAACCCCGTTTGGTATCAAACGGCTTGGAGAGGTTATTCCCTTTTCTGAAGGAGCTGGTAGTATGCTCAATGAATATTTTTACTGTCGTATCAGTTTCGCGGGAACACGATATTCAGACATCGCGGCCTAAAGGCAACTCTTTTTCGACTTTGAAGTTGCGAGTGTTTCCCAAGATTTAGCGCATGGATACGGTGACCATCCGTCCTGTATTATACGGGACAGTCCTCTTTTTGGGCCATCTGTCCTGGCAATTTAATAATTTTATACGGGACGCAAAATGTTCTGTATTTTGGTACTACCTAGAGTAAAAATTCAACATCCCTTCATTTGTCAGCTGATCAGAATGACATGTCAATGAACCAATTGACCACAGATGATATGATACGAGACACTCTCATTTTGCTTCTGAGAGAGCACCCAAACTCGTTTTATGACTTGGCAGCACAGAAAGTTCAGGGCCGATGAACAGCTACCACTAGTCAAGTTCAAAATCCAGCGCTTTGAATTCGAGGGATTTTTTGTGCATGCATTTATAAAACTAGCAAAAATGCAGTGTTTATGAGTAAAAACGCGTTTATTCGTAATTTAATAATTTTATAATACTAAAAGGCAAAGCAGATATTTATTCACATTTATTGGTTTTCGAGCGATTTACTTACTCAAAAAAAATCACCTAAAATTTCTTAGTAAATACCAAGCATGTTTTTCGTAGCAGTGGCATTATTAGAAGATGTTATAAAAAATGAACCTTTTGACAGCACTCTCACGAGAAAAAGAGTCTCGGATCAAATTATCCGTGTAATTGAAAGTGATGTTGATAAACACAAGACATTTACTTATCATCGCTTTGTAAGTATAAAATCGATGTAAAAATAAATTTTGATTTATTTATTTATATAAGGAAACGAAATT